TCAGGAAGCTGCTGTTCAAGAATGGGACAGGTTACCACAAGAAATGCTGGATAACTTGATCCTCAGCATGCCCAGGAGGATCTCCGCATGTGTTCGAGCCAGAGGAGAAGTTATTTTGTATTAGATAAACAACAACAACATTAATAATAGGTTTTTAGTTTGGTTAAACTCTCTTTTTATTTCTATCATAGTTCTATTACAATCGGCTAAGGATTGAATTATGAATTTTTTATACTAAACAATAAAATTAGTTTTATTTTTAATTTCATAGTGTATTTTTAAATAAAAAAGATTTTGAAAATATATCAGTTAAGATTGTGTGTATGTACATAAGTATGTGTTCTATCCATTACTCTAGTATCCCATAACACAAGCCTAGAGTGTTTACTTCGGGGCTAGGCTAAATGGTGTGTATTTTAAAAAGATGAATAAAAAGATGATATACAAAAGTAATTATTCAGTGTACTGCCCTTTAGGCAAAATAGTGCCTCAATTATTTATGGTAAAAAAAAATATACTTTAGCTTCTTTTCTAAGTTATTACTTTAGGATTGCTTTTGCTTCCTTTAAAGATTTGAAGAAAGAAAAGAGTTCTGGTAACTGAAAAATTGCGATTAGTTTTTGTAATAAAGGCTTTTTTATGTCATGAAGCATAATATAGGTTTAAAAGGTATATGATACTTTGAGAAAAGTTATTTGTCCATACATTAGTTATTCATATCAATACAAAGATATAGATGCCATAACATTCTACTGCAACCTAAAGCGGGTACTCATTAGCGAGCTGTAACTGTAACCATTGCATGCAGTGAATTTCAACCCGAGAAAGCATTCTCTTCCTAGGCTATGAATAAATTTAAAAAAATCTGGATGGCTGGAGAAGGCAAGAAAAGATAATGTTGACAGACAAAATTAAACAATGAATTTCCCCACAATATCATATACACACTCCAGGCCATATTGTTCAATCGTTTTGGAAAAAATACATATTGTCTTGTATCCTCAAAATAGGAAGGTATTTTGTTTATAAAAAGCAATAGTCAGGGAATATTAGCCTCACAGACTTGGATCACTAGTTATTTGGGTACCGCTGGTTCTGAGACAGTTTACCTTAGCAAAAGACCCTAATAATGGAACTCCCAGCAACCTAAAAACATAATTTCATATTTTACTACTTTTTTTTGGGATGCCCAATGGAAGGTATCTAGTAGAACAATATGAAAATATTATGCTTGCATTCAAGCTGTTATCCAAAATTTTTTTTAAGTCTCATTTTTTTCCTGCAATCTGTCTTGTCAACTTTAAGCTGGATTTTATGAATTTGGAATAAAATGTTGTGCATGGTACATGATCTAATGATATGCCCATCCATTTTGACTTTTCTGTGTGTGTTATAGAAAATCTTGAGGAGCATGTCTCTTTAGTCTCTTAAATGTATAGTTTGTTTGCATCAAAGTTCTTGCTAGTGGGTTAGGATAAATTTGTATTCTTTTGGAATAGGAAAGTAAAGAGTCCTTAATTTCTTCTCTAACAGGTCTGACTTTTAGATCAAGTGATTATTTGTCATATACCATGGTGCTCCAGGTATCATTCGCAGGGCTTTTGATTGAAATCATTGAAGTATCTCTATGTTGGATATAGAGGCTGTGCCCCATAGTTGTAGGCCATAAGTCCAGACCGGCTTAAGTATACACTTGTACAGAAAGAGTTATCCCAAATAAACCTGATTTCCCAAGCACAAGAAATGTCAGAACAAACTATTTGTCAGTTTAGTTTAGGTCATGCCAATACTTGCATGTTTCAAGCAAAAATAAGGGTTAGGGATAGCTCCTTATGTGAATATGAACTGGATGAGGGATCAGACTACATTTTCTTCAATTGCCCCGATACCACATCTTCCTTTATGATATTCCCTCGATATATATTTCCCCAAACTCAGCAATTACAAATTGATTTTAAGTTATGGTAACTCACCATTTATCTGCTGCGATTAAATAATTACCAATAACATTAGGCCACATTGCATTTTGTACCGACATTAAGTGTGTTGTGTTGTCTTTTTTTGAAGTTTGGTTTAAATAGTTGGTGGCAAATTTTTTATTTATAATAATCAATGTGATTAATAATAATCACATTGTACTTTCTCTGACACATTTAAGGAGCAAGGTTTAAAAAAAAGGATAACAGGGCAAAAAAACGAATTCTAACAAAATCCATAAGGGCACAGGCTAATAATTGAAGGGAAGATTTTAAAAATAGAGAAGAATTAAATAAATAAACTTAACACAGGTTTCAAGACTGTATTATGACCTTTAAATGTTATCAACATGTGTGCTATTTAAGTCTTTTACAAGCTATTTGAAGAAGAAATCCAGAAGTGGTCACAGGGCACCCAAGACTGGATCATTAAGTGTAAATAATGTAAACAATTTATTTGCACAACAACATTTGTCATAAGTATGTTCATTGAATAATAAAACATAATATTTATTACAATGTTAAAAATATGTTTAAGATCAATGTTTAAAATCCAATTGAATCTAGTAAAAGAGCCATATAATTTGATTTGATCCTATCAATTCCCAGCATAGTTAAATTTGTTTTGTGTTCATGTTTGGAGTAAGTCCATAGCATGATTATTAATTTAATGAAAATATATAAACAGTATATGCCGTAGTTAAGTAGCTTAATGTCTAAAATTAATGAATCATGTTTTACTTACTCTAACAAATATCGCCTTTAATTGTGCAATAGACTTAGCAAATGGATTAATACCGCATCAGATTACTTAAAATAATAAAGTTATCAACTTCACTATAAGACAAACGAAAATAAAAACGCAGAAATGAAACCTTAATTCGTCATGTAAAGACAAAAACACTAAAATCACAATTACAAAACACTTCAATCCACATCCACAACCAGTTCAACACAGATTCACTGAGCAAGTAATCTATCATGCCAGCACTTCACTCAGCTAATCGTTTTAGCTGTTTGTAAACTTGACAGTAGGTAGTCTGTCCTTATCATGCATTATAAAAGATGAAAAGGACAAACTGATGTCAAGTTCATATAAAGAAAATACGAATAGCCAAATGAAGAGCCGGCATAATAGATTATGCTTTAAGCCTACCATTCACGGGCGCGCCAATCCGCCGCGCCGGATTTGTCGCTGGCGACAAGTCCGCGGACAAATCCGCGTGTGAATGTATTGGTGAGTGCGGCTCGCGGCTCGGCGCGGCGCTCGCCGTCGAGAGACGCGAGCGCCGCGCCGTACAAATCCGTACGTGTGTGTGCTTGCACAGATTTGTCGGCGAACTTGTCAGTCATTTGTAGTGCGTGCACGCAGAACGACCTCTTAAATTGTTAATTCTGTATCACGTCTGTATCACTTTTTTGACGTTTATGCGATAATGTTTTAAGTCAAAAAGTTGAACATAATACTCATTTAAGTTGATATCAAGTTAATGTCATTTTAAAGAGTAGATCATAATACGCTTAATTTGATGTCATTTTGATATCGCATTTTTCGGAGAGCATAATACGTAATGTGAAATTGACATCAAAACAATATCACAATTAGCGAACATAAAGAGCTAATTGTATCTCTTCTACAAGGGGTTTATCTCTTCTACGCATGTCCTCGGCATGAGCTCATTCTAAATAGTCCATTACTAACCCGAAACGAGCCATTTTACTCTTTTTTATTAAAAAAAAAGGAATTTGATACAGAAAAACCACCTCCTAACTTGTTAAGTCTGTATCACATTTTTGACGTTTATGCGATACTGTTTTATGTCAAAAAGTTGAACGTAATACGCATTTAAGTTGATATCATTTTAAGGTTGATGTCATTTTGATATCGCATTTTTCGGAGAGCGTAATGAGTAATGTGAAATTGACATCAAAACAATATCACAATTAGCGAGCATAATTGGCCTGCAGTTGTGTTGTTTGTATCATGAACGAGTATAATAACATGTCGTTCGGCGATCATAAAGAGTTTTGGCAAGAATTTATCCATACAAGGAAGAACGATACGCGCGAGGCTCACCAAAGTACACAAGCGACTGGACTGCAACTCGACCCTCGTGTAGTGTGTGGGCAATGACGGATTTGTCCACGGATGGGTACGGCTCGGGGTTCGGCTCGCGGTGCGTGTAGTGAATGGTGGGCTTTATGTTCGGTTCCGATCGCTGGTACGTACGGAATATTTTTGATACAACAAATAGATGAAAAACATTTTACATATAATTACGAAAATTTGATATTAAATTTGCAAATTAACTCACATGTTATAACTCGCTATAACGTGTTGTGTTATTACCACTTTATTAAAAGTAGTACAACTACATTTTACTCGTTAAAATCAAAAATTCGCTAATTCACTGTAGAATTAAATTGAACATTCGAATAATGAAATTTGTTCATTTGGATGATGTTTATGGGCGAACAGTATCTATGACGGGTATGTAATCGTGTAACTATTTGTTTGTAATCTGCCTGAAGTTACAAATTTACTCAATTTACGATTTTGAGACCAAAAAAGGCATTGTTTACATTGCACATTTTTAGGTTAGATTGACATAAATAGGTAATATTGTAGTACGACCATTTCTTTTGATACGTTGTTATGGTTCAACTCGGTCAGATTTTCTACCAATTTTTAATTAATTGCTTCATGTTAATAAGTTATTGTTTCTGTTCCGTTACATATTTTTTTACTTTTTTTTTCAGGAAAATCAGAGAGTCGGATAGTCAACGAAGGTTTTAAGAATGGTGGAAAGTTTGAAACTCCTGGGAAAACAGGCAAGGCCGACCAAAGAATGAAATAGTCACATAAAGAACCATGGCCAGATGCTTTTAGTGAAGATACCTATCACATTAGAATGCGACACACCGACATTCTAATGTAAAAAGAAAAACAGAATAATTTAATTTAAGACTAGGCTGTATGGGCATTGTTCTCCTTGCCTTCCCTGAAAAGGGAGAACTTAACCAAAAAAAATTGAACGTATGTCACGTACTTTTATTACAAACATAACTTTCGTAAATACCTTTATTATCATAAATTTAAAAAAGTTCTTCATGGATTCATCTTCGATTGTAAGCTTTAATAATGACACTGCATTCCAAAGTACTCTTAAAGGTGATTACAACAATATAAGTGTACACGAGTTGGCATTGCATGCAATGAGAGATCGTTGTTTACTATTGCAACGAAGAATTAATGCTTTGGAAAGTGATAATATGCGTCTTAAACTCGACGTTACGAAGGCAACTGAGAGTACGTCCTATATTCCTCTAAGAGAAGATGAAAAGTTCATGTTACAACAGAAAATAGCGGAATTAAATAAACAAAAATCTCAGTTGTTGCACCACGTATTTATGGTTTCATGCGAAAATAAAAACTTATGGAACAAACTGTCCACTCTTAGAGGACCTGACAAAGAATTTTTAAAAAAACCACAATTGCGCACTCATTTGCACAGCACACCTAAATCAAGTGTCAATTATCAAGAAAAATTTTCAGAATGTAGCTTAGAAGAAATATCCTTAAAAATGATTAATAGTTATATTCAAGAAAAGTCACAGTTAGTGGAACAGTATGAACAAATGGCTCAACTTCAAGATGTTGATGATGAAAACTTGTTGAATGTTGATTCTATTGGTTTCACATACATGGAGGACCCTGTGACTGATTCATTGAAAGAAATTCATTTTGAAACAGAAAAACTACAGGAATTAAAGAAAGAACTTGCACAACAAGAAGATGATTTAAAAGTAATCATAGCAAGGGTGGAGACAGTATTAAAAAGTAATTATAATCTGCTAGGTCTCATATTTACATAAACTGATATTTTTTACTTCCTACCTATTTAAGTACAATATTATAAATCTAAAGAAAAGTTTACTAGAAAAAAATGTAGCAGTTAAATGCTTAAAAAAATAACGATATTTTTCTTTTTAGATGGCTACAAGTGTCCTACATGTACAGCTAACAATGCAAAAATTACTTCATCAGAACATAAAGAAATAGAAACCAGTGATAGCTTGGCTAATTGGGCAACTCCAGTAGAATCCAGTAGTTATAATAACTTTAGTGAACTTAACACATCTGCTTTCAAGAAAAATCTTTCTGGTATAAATGATAATGATAATAAAGACAAAATATGCCTTGATAAAGTATGTCCTATGTGTGGAGAAAATTTTCAGAAAGATGTTGCTTTTGCAGAGTTTCAGGCTCATGTGGAGAGTCATTTTATTGGTGAATGTGAACCAGATTCTGTTATAGATAATTTTGAAAATGTACCATACTCATTTGATCCTGTGATTTGAATATTGTTAGAACCATAAATTAGTTTATTTAAATATCCTATTTCATTTAATCTTAAAAAAATATATTACCACTTAGATAAGTTTCTCATCATTAAAACCAATGCTGAACTTCCATTCATAGAAAACTTTGTCATAATTTGCCCTTTGATGATTAAGTAAAACAATCTAGGGAAAATAACTTATTCATTGTTTGTCTTATGATTAACCCTTGATTTTTTTTACATTTCACAAGTTCAATATCTAGATGAGGCAGGTGAATTTTAGAAAAACTGAGAATGCAGTTCTACTTATTATTAAAAATAAAATAATGTCTCCTTTCAGTAATATATCATCCTATCTTCAATATACTTTTCCTCCATGTGGCATGACCGTGGGATGCCATGTATACTATTTTGGCAGATGTCTACAAGCTCTAAAATGTTCTGGCTGTTTACATATATATTTGAAGCGGTTAAGGGAATGTTCCCTAGAAATTTGAGCCTTGTGCAAGCCGGTTATGAATTACTATTCTGACGACAACTGTGCTATCGTCTGTTACATACCTACAACCCTCGGAATAGGTTGATATTTTTTTATGCTTAATCATATATAAATTACAACATATTAAAATTGTAGCTTTGCTGTGGCAGCAGGTTAAAAATGTTTTTTTTTAGCATTTTCAAAATTTTAAGGTATGATGACGGAAGCAACCGCGAGATGCTAGCCAGAATGGTTCTTTCTTTATAACAGATAATAAAGAATAATAAAAAAAATGTGGGAAACTGGTTAGTCCGATAGTTCAGTAGTTCTTAGACTAATAAGAATATAATGTTAAATGACTTGATTTCTTTTATAATATTATATGTATATAATAGTAGTTATTGCTCTATATCTTTGTACTGCTCTTATAAATATGTTAATACTAAGGCCATTATGTGTGAAATAATGGCCTTAGTATTAACATATTTATAAGATTATTACCATGTACAATTTTTTACAAATAAATATATTATTATTATTATATTATACTGCTTCAAAAGGACTTCATTTTCATCATTAAACAGGCAAGTATGTATTGGTATTCATATTAGACTAAAATTACATGAGGTGTTTTTTAACCTGTGTACTTACAAAAACAAGATTAACAACAAGATATGAAGAAGCACAGCCACTCTATGGAGAATAAATGAATTTTATAGCAAGTCAGAATATTCATACTTAATAGAAAATGTTTAAGATTATAAACATTAATTAAGCTTTACAATAAATTGCACTTTAGTCAAAAAGACAGTGCAAGATAATACCTAAATAAACAGATCTAAATATCTGTAAGTAAATGTACCTATTTCACCTTCTAATTTAGTATATGAGATGGGATGAAAATTAAAAAAGAACAGATTGCAACAATTACTACTAAAGTAGAACCCTATTGCTGTCACTGTGGTATAGAGAATGATACTTTGCAGGAGCATGCACATGTGTGGTTCTAACCAGACGGTGCCAAATTATAAACAGGATGAGTCGGAACCTAAATTTTGGTATTTTATATTTTTATCATACAGGACAACTGTCAGATTCACAAGTAAGTTTACATAAAAGTGAAGGGTAGAAAAACAAGGAATAACATGCCCTCACCTCACCAATAGGAGAGAATAGGAGAAACACTCCTTGCTGTGCCTTGCACTTAACATCGCAGGAACCCATTTACCATATCACATCCACTATGCTTTGACAGGTAAAATGTGGCCACTCACACAAGTAGTTCATCACAATGAAATCCTTTGATGTTAGTGTTAATTAGTAGCAAAGTAAATAAAACTTGGCTTGTAAAAAAATAAAAGAAAAATAAATCTTAATTTTTATAATTTACTCAAAAGTTAGACATTACAATTTTCATAAAAGGTATTTATAGTATGAGTAAACTATATTTCAGTTCTAAATCTGTATTTCCTAATAATATAGATCATGTTAACTAAGCTAAATCTATTGGTTTCACATCCTTAGAGTCTGATGGTTCTTGTGTAGATTTCTGCAGCAAATTTTTGCTAAACCATGAGGGTCTCTCTTTTTTCATTTCGACTATCCTTTTTCCATTCCAAAATTCACTTTTCTGGAAAAAAAACCCCTGATCTAAGTGAAAGTATTTTTATTAATTTAAACTAGATTTGAATAAGTTTACCTGTTCTGGAGCTTCATTTTCATATAATATAACCACTTCTTTATCAATAGGGCTATTACCCAATTTTTCTACTATTTTGTCTTTGATCAATTTAGTTTCATTCTCAATTCTTTTGTAGCAGTTTTCTGAAAAAATATTGTTAATGTTAACATATGGAAGTGTATCTTTTAATCTAATGATAATGCTTGTTTATGATGATCAAAGAAATATAGAGAATAATATAATTTTATGAGGAATGAGTGGTGATGTAATTATATTTTGTAAACAAAAGGGTTAAAATTTACCCTACATTAAAATTAAATTACATTTAGGCAAACTAAAACGATACTTAGAAATGATGTTATTTTGTAACAAACTTGGAAAACTCATTTTGATCATAATGCATGGCAACCAAATAACCAATTTTGAAACAAGACCATAATAGTACATAAATCAAGCTGATCATAATACTAAGAATAATTTATAAAACTAGCATCTGGCTGTTTCTTGAGAATCCTGCAGGAATCGAATAATTTTAATTATACGAAAAAAAAAATTTTATTTAAATGTATTTATAATATTATGTAGGATTACCACATAGACGTCCGAGTTCATGATGATGACCACATTCTTGGCAGACTTTAATATTTTTGTTGGGGACAATCATTTTCCATACGTAATCTGGAGACCCAAATTTTCTTTTCCACCTTTTTTCAACAGTTCTTCTGAATTTTGGCACAGCCATTAAATATCCATCTCCAATAAGATCTTTAAGGGAATATTTCTTTGTTGGTGCTGTTTTAGAGTAAGTTTGATGAACATAAATTGCAGCTAGCTCTGTAAAGATTTAATTTGAATAACGTTTAGGTAAAGGTTTACTGTAAAATTTTAAATACACAACACAACAATAACCTTTTGGTGGGTGCCCAAAAAAGTTATTCATGAAATGGCGCTCCATGTGTTTCACTAAATCAACGATCTTCCACAAACGATTCATCATGTTGAGTTGAACCACAGAACTCTGAAAATACCAGAATTTACTCTAAAGAATTAAGACAAATTGAACTCTATTGAACTTTTAGCCAACTTTTTTTTAGTCTATTTTTTTTTGATTAAGTTCTCCCTTTTCAGGGAAGGCAAGGAGAACAATGCCCATACAGCCTAGTCTTAAGTTAAATTATTCTGTTTTTCTTTTTACATTAGAATGCCGGTGTGACGCATTCTAATGTTTCTTGAAGTGTTTGGCACGAAATGTATCGAGCTGGCTTTTTCGATAAGCTTCTGTGAGGTAGTCAATACTACAATAAAATTCTTACGTCCACTTGACCGGAATAGCGTATATTTTGACGATTCTACTAATTCTTCAGTTACGCAGACAGTTGTAACACAAAATCACACCAATTTTATTTCACAATATCCACTATGAATGAATTTAAGAATAATTAAAATAAAACGCCAACCACACTCGGTGAAATCCCGCCAAAAACTCTTTCTTTTTTAGTCTATTTGACCCTGTAGGGACTGTCAATGGATTCTGAATTCATACAGCCCTGTCTGTACACTTTTCTTCCTTAAAGAGTCTACAAACTTGAATGCGACTGTGGGCTCTCCTACATCGGGCAAGCAAGGAGGAGTATAAAGATTCGGGAGTAAGGGATAGAGAAGAACATATTGCAGATATGAAACAGATATGCGAAAATAAGTCTAACCATTACATTAGATTTGTAAAACCACAGATCCTTGCAACTGAACAACGGTGCCCAGCTTGGGAACCCATTATACAACAGATAAAATCCCAACCCCGAACAGGACACATTTCAAGACCAACCGATACTATTAGTTCTTTTTGTGTACATGATTTAACATAAGAAGGACAAAAAAAGCCTCTCTGAGTTTGTTTCGCCAGTTCTTCTCAGTAAGGTGTCTCAATTTTGGAACTGGTAGTAGTTAGGGTCAATTAAATAAACTCAAAAATAAAAAAATAACGTCCTTTATTGATTCAATTACCTTAAAAATTCATACATAAACAGTAAAAATTTCAATGAAGTATCCGAACGCCCAAAAAAAGTTTTTTGAAGTACCTCAACAAAGTAAAAAAATCATAATTCTTACTTAACGATATTAAATACCCTAGATACACCAACACGAACAAAATCGTGCCCGAAACCTGTCCAAAGGGTATAATGCGATTCAAATAAGAATAGGAAAGCTAATGACCTCCATCTGTCAAATGAAAAGTACGGTTTGCAAAATAAAACTCGGAACACTTTTTTAGCACTCAGTTAATTCTAGAATAAAAAACAAACAATAACAAATATAGATAATTAATATTGGTTGATATTTTTTTTCTTTTATTGATCTTTGGCTATGAATGATTGATAACCTAAATCGTCAACCAAATGTCACTTTATGTTGCGTTCAGAAACTCGATTTAAAACTTTCGTTTATTATAGGATGCATGTTCGTATGTGACCTGCATGATTTTTCATAACTACTCCGGCGGTAATGCAGAGATGAGCGGAATTGAAGAGCTAGATTCTGATTAATGTTTTTTCTCATATAATCTTATTAAAGACATATTATTAAAAATCGGTTGTGTTTTTTCTCAATCTTAGAAAAATAATTTTAATAAAAAATCTGATGATTTTTCTCACTTAATCTTAGTTAATAAGTTTTATTTAATAAAAACTTTTTTGCTCAGTCTACTTATTTGGTTTGAATTGACAGCTATGACGTCTCAATATGGCGCCCAGTCGGTCCTATTCTTAGTTGAATCGCATTATACATTGGACGATCCACGGAGCTCCGTAAGATGACCGCGTTGTCAAAAACAATATAAATCATTATTTTAACATGGAAAGTCACCTTTAATGCCTACTGTATAAGGTCTTAATTAAAACGCATGCGTCAAAGAGTTGTGACAGTTCAAAATGCAAGCTCGTAAAATTTGAGCAAATTTGAATGCGCTGTTAGCAATATAGCAGGTACGGACCGCGAGTAAAAGAGATGGCTCTATAACCGACCATGCATTTGAATAACATAAATATTTCTATTAAATCAGTTTATAGTAAGTATTAGAACAATTTACTTCAGATGCGTTAAATTAACTAACATTGATTAGATACCTGTCGAAAAAACGACACTTCATGTACTATAAATATTTTTTTCGCATTTTTTCACGGAGCTCCGCGGCAACTTGACTTTTCAACGGTCCGCGCGTGACTTAGAACCAAGAAGTGCTTGAGTGGCATTCAAGCACTTCTTGATTGGGACACATTTTGAGCGCCCGTGGTGTATCTAGGGTATTAAATATCGTTGTTCTTACCACGCAGCCTGAAAGGGATACCAAATGTCAAGAAACAAATAAATTAACGCATTAAAACCGTTGAACCTTTGTTTTATTTAATGAGTGGTTTCCGTGAAACCTAAGAAAAAAATATGCATAGTTTAATTCTCAGAACTTTTTTGAGTTTGAGACAAGGAATTTATATATCTAAGTTAAGAAGGTATATGTATTCATTGATTTTAGGTTTCATTACACGTTTAGTTGTAGATATTTAGTTTTATAGTCTTATGGCTGTATGGACATAAAACCTTGGATATTACAAAAAGATTTTTAAGACAACAATAAACTCAAATAAAGTATTTTTTTTATTGGCAACACAAGCAAACAATATGGCGTTTGACAATCAGCTGTAAGAAAGTGGGGAGGAAAAGGCGAACGTCTGCTGTATTTTATTTCACGATATGTAGTTCATGCCTTCAAGCGTTTCGTTGCAGTTGTAACTATGGCGTGTTTAAGTTCTAGTAGGCTTTGTGCTCGTGTTCAAGATAAGTTAATGTGTCAATTCGGACATAAAGTCCGAAGACAAACTGTATTTGTGAAACTCAAACCTCCTGGACCTTCGCCTTTGCGATTATTTGGAAAAACATGTCAGGTCAGTAAATTATTTAGTTTTAACTAATAGTATTATGGTTATTAATTAGGTACTCAAAACATAAAAGTACTTCAGAGAGCATATGCCTAAATGTTATGTCATGTTTTGCATTCTGAAGGACTTTACATAATCGACAGCGTGACAGTAACCTCACTCTGAACAGCTGATATTGTTTTCAAAATAGTAAAAATATCGAAATAGATATAGTGCTTTGGTATTATTAAAATGAGCGTTATTTATTTAAGGTTTAAATTATTTCGTACTATAGTGACAATGATAAAAGTGAAATCTTCGCGTGTCGCCGGTGAATCGCATCGCGCGCGCGGCACAGGTTTGTTGGGTTTGTCCAATAATTTTCACTAGTGGTAGTAGATATTCGTACTTTTACTTTCTACAAACAAAGCGGTTTTGTTTCCGAGTCAGCGCCTAGTCTACATCGTTAGAATGATGAAAATTTATGTCGAAAGATTCTTATCAGTGTCAGTACCATCGAAAATAGGTCATATTACTGATTAAAAACTACTGAAGCCCTTCAAAGACTTATTCGTCTATTATATACACACAGTTGCAGAAGTATAATATAAGAAATGAATTGGACATATCTTAATATAATTATCGAATACTTATCGAGGATTGCGCTCCTACTGTGGCAAGCGCGAGACGGACAATCGGATGCGAGCGCGGGCGGCGTCTTGCTTTCTCGCGCAGCGTGCGAGCATGCAATGTCCAATATCGGCGACTAATACAAAACTTTCTAGGCAACAATTAATTTTCACATTAATATTTCATTTTGCTTCTGCATTCGCAATTAATAATCGGCCGATTTCTTTGGAAACGACAGCATTATGCTCATTTTCCGTTCGGTTCCGTAAACGAATTTAATATTTTTAATGTCACTCAAAGTAGTTTTTAGATAATATGTTATATTATGGATGGGATAATTACTGAAAAAATTGTATACGGCAAGATTTTTTCAACGAGTTCACTTGATTTAAACTACGCGCAAGTCTCAAAATGTCTATTACACATTCCATAGTTAGTGAAAGTTGTGTGATGATTCGTTGAATTTATAATAGTCCGAAAACTAGGTAAGTAACCTGCCAAAGGAGTGTTTATAGCCTTTCTTATTTTATTCTAGTCTATTTGGCGAACATCGACCCTGTTTGTCGCAGTGAAACATTCGGACCTTGTGTTGCATTATTTGTAATTTTACTAGTTACCACTAACTACTCCATAGTTATCCAAATTCCTACCTACTTATGAATACGAAATTTTTGCTGTCCGCGATAGCAATTTATATGTACCTGTGTCAGGCAGAATTATCGCGGATTTTGCTATCGTTATGATAAAGTAGCTTTTGCAGTATTTTCGAGTACCGAATTTTATCCAAACCCATCTACCAATTCTGGTTTGTTTGAGCGAAAATCGTACAAGCATCCATACTTTTGCACTTATCTTAGCACATAGGTACCTAGTAACATTTCGAAAATCGTAAATTAAAGTGATACTCTAATACTTGAAAATCAATAAATAATATAGCCGTCAAGTTACCGATTATTGCGTAAAATAGGGAAAAACTATTTGTCATGTGAATGATAAGAAATACCACAACATTTATTGTATTATGAATCACTCATTTAGCGAGTTTATAATGTTCATTATTTGGAGCTGGCGCTTGAATGAGCCGTGCCGCACGTAACGTCCTGCGTAAATGAAGCTCAGTAGAAATGCGGAACACATAACTATTTGTTCAGTCGACATCATTGTATAAGAGTTTGCGGCAACGCATGCGATGTAGCATAAGTTATTTTCGACTTACAACATTTTCTTGAATACCCAAATTACGTGACGACAATACAAAAGGGCATAGAAAGCTGGAAAATATTGTTTCGAGTCTTCAAATCTCTATGCTACTCATTTAATTTCCGTCGATTTAAGTGGTGAAGTGAACAAGACGCATGAAGGTTGGTCTTCCGCACGTGATAAGATTTTTCACGTTGCCGATAAATATTACGCAAAGCATTAACGTAGTTCTTACAAGCTGTATGCGTGGGTTAAGATTGTGACACACGGAGAGCACAACCTTGGGTCAGATACTTTATCCTTCAAAATTTACTGGACGCTTGATTAAAAAAATAAAAATAGTTGAATTAAAAATAACGGGGGTTGAAGACAAAATTAGTAATAATTTTCAGTAAAAAGTATTGCATTATTATGAATTTTCTTCAAGTCCAATCGGAGGTATTACATTAAGTATTTATGAATTACTATTTTTTATCTTCATAATCTTGCTTTTCACTTAGTAGAAGTAACAAAGAAAAATGATGAAAAGCAACGACAATCGTCCCATCATATTTTTTATGTTATGATTCAAATTAACATACATATTGTAATAAATATACTTACGCTACAAATAAGAGGCAAAGGAAAGACCTACTCTTGAAAAAGTTAATCTTTCACGCTTTCTAGGTAATAACGTTTCTGTCAACGTCCATAAAGTATGTACAAGCAGCTGTGGTTATGAATTATATCAATAAAAAGTCCGTTTATCATTTAGCGATGAAATCGTTTGTAATCTTTTACATTTTATCGAAACATACAAGTGCAGCTATATCATATCTCATATATTCAACGATGTGGGTACAACTACATTAGAGGTAATAAAACATACCCCTGCATAAATATTGCAAGTGCTCCGAAGCCTACTGTTGTCAGAAAGCAATATTGACAGGTTTATAACTCATAGTCTTCAACAGTTTGCAGAACTGATTGGTCTCATGATAAACTTTTATATAAGCGAGCGAGACCCAACACGGCATTTGAGGCTATGTCCTTCTTTCGGCCCCAGTTTTTGCGTTCATTTTTTCTAACTTTATATTATATGTACGAATCTTGAAATATTAATTTAATTTACTCGCTATTTTTTTTCATAGCCTTAAGCTGCAAGGCAGCGCCATCTCTTCGCATTGTTGGTAACCCACAATGTCAAATGAATACTTTTGCAAGTATTAAACATTTGAAAGAAGAAATAGCAATTATAGTTATGGTCAGTGCATTCGCCCGGATAGCGAAGGATACGGATTCGAGTCCCGTCCGCTGCCTGGTCCGCGTGGATTTTTTTTTCTAGTAAACTTTTCTTTAGATTTAAACATCTAGCAGTTAAATGCTTAAAAAATAAATAAAATCATTACTCGCTATTGTTAATATTGTCAGTCCGATAATGAACTTTTACGTTAGAAAAGCAACAGTTGACGCATGCTATGTTCTTCTTTTGGCCTCAGTGCTTACCAAACGTATTAATCTTGAGAAATTTATTTAATGCAACAGCCTATTTCTTAAATAATACGTGAATTACTGCGTACGTAAATAAATACTCAGTCAGTAAAGATGCGGTCAGTATGCCGCGCCGCTACCGCCGTTGCCCGCCGCTCGCCCGGTAGCTGGATAGCTGACGTCCTTGCGAATTGCTGCATGCTTAGTTGGTACAATTGAGCAAGACGTTTCGGTCGCCACTTGCAAACAATGAACTCATCAACAGTCACCGTAGAAGCAATATTAATTACTGCCGTTTGCTCACGTGACGTTGCTGTTTGATAAGGGTCTCTTATTGAGTAACTCACTGTGTGGTGTATCATTTGAACGTGCAATTTGTGTGATATATGCTCATGATATGCAATTCTTAAACACAGTAGTAAAACGTAAGTTTACCAGACAGAAAATAATTACTTGCAAAAATGCAATAAATTGTGCAATGAGATTATCTACAAGGTTATGATAACGTTGTTAATTGTGTTTATTTAATATTTAACTAAATGGTATACTTGCTAGTATATTGCTTCGGCAAAATACTTATATGTTTATGTCTGTTCAATTGCCACTAACTAAAATGTTCACACATTCAAAACCTTTACAGCAGATTCACCAAATCTTTGCAATTAGCAAACCGAGTCGTTAGTGCAATCTGTTAACTTTGTATCAAATATTGCCTTCAATGGTACTTGTTGATGTACATTGCGATGTATCCGTGAAATCGAAATTTCAATGCCGCCACTCTCTATTCTGCTATTTCTGGAGCTGCAGATTGATTGTCATTAAAAAATGTGCTCACTTATTTTTCTTTACAATATAAAACTTCTCGAAGAAGTTTAATAAAAACTGTATTCATGTTGTGATTTCCTTGTTTTGGGTACGTACATACTTGAAATATGAATAGTTATCGAAGTAATTGTAGTTTAAATATACCATCTAACCAGCAACCAAGGTTAGTCCTTTCATGTGTGTGCAGCGTGCAAGCTTAAACTAATGCACCTATTTTTTTGTTTATGATCGTAATAGACATCATAGATCGCAGACTTACTGAATCTTCCGATAGTTTAATTTGGTAATCGGGTTGGGCTACTGGTGCTTCGACTCAGGGTCAACCGATTTGACTTTAACTTGAAGGTAAAGCACATGAAACCCAATATATATTTTTTTGGATTATTATCGAAGTTATTCAAAATAGCGGATCTTAATATATATCGAAAAACTCAGGTTAACCATCGACCGATGAGTAGTAGTGGTCAGCAATTCAGCATGGTCTCTAAAGGTTAGCTTAGATTTTATTTATTGAAAAGATAGTGTTAACGTCTATGCCAGCTTATTTATGCTGTTTGATTTCATAATATATTGCTACAGATACACAACGACTGTATTCAAATATTTATACTAGAATTAAATTTAAAAACATCTTTGCACATTTATTTTGTAACGCATAAACTTGAGAGTTCTTTATAATAGTAGCGTAGGTATACGTCAACGCTTGACTGCAAGAACTAATTGGTTTGAATTTAGCACACTAGTCTCAAGTCAAGTAATTACACATCCTAGCTAATACGATAGTAATTTGTACTCATATCGTCATCTGTAATCCTGCCATAATGTGTTTGAGTACAGTAAGTACCTGTAAATACGAATATGAAAACAAAAAGTTATACCAATTTTCTATGTACCTACAATAA